TGCATCAATTAATTGCATTTTTATTTTGAGGCCATATTAGATCATCATATTGTATTGTTTTGCAATTCCACATATTTACTAAAATTTAATGTATCAGGATAATAGTGATACTTAGTCCTGAGCGAGATCTAAAGTTTGGTCGACCCTGGATGGGGTTTCTTACATTAGACGTAAGAAAACAAAATCCAGAGTTTAAACCAATTATATTATTTACACATAAGAAAAATGGTATAGCTTATATATTTACCTATGTTTAGGTGGTATAATAGTCAGGAAATGATCTTGTCTATGCTGTGTACATGCAAACATACATGTACCTCATACAGAGTTGAATTTCCCTGATCTAAATGGAGACCTTAAATGTCTCCATACATTTTGTTGCAGGGCTCACTATATTTTATTCTTATAACCAAAACCAACGAGTTGTTTTCTGCTTTAATGATCACTTCACAATGTGAAGCAATTCAATGCATGATACAAACTTTCAGGTCACAAATTCGATTAAATAATTTGAAGAGATTTCAGGGAATTCGCTAGATGGGTAGGCAGTTAGAAGCTTCATATAAAATGCATGGGATTATCGTTTATTTCACCCTGAATTGCATACTCAAATTGCTTTTAGTCCAGGATGGATTGCAATTTTGACTTCATATCTGTCACATATTTTTCACCAGCGAGCCTCGAACCCAGGACCTAAGAATTCCGATAGGAAACCCCAACTTCCATATCCGATTGGCAATTGTTCCCAGGGGGCAGACTCATATGTTGTGTAAGACGTGTCTTTAGTCATGGCTATTAGAAAATGCTGAAAAAGGGAGCCCGCAGTTCTCGTTTCATAAGTAGGTTTTCTAGACTACCAGTGGCTTTTGATCCTACTTCCTTTAAGGTGTTAAAAGACGGGTAATTTAATCTTCCCACAATGCCTCATTCTTCCATTAAAGTTCCCATAGTCATGCTTATCAAAATACCCCGTCATACCGATTAAAGTGATCAGCATTTTCAACCCTACCTTGGACTCATCAACACTCTCAGCAGGACTCGAACAGTGATGGTGCAGCGTACAATATTGACACGTTAGCCAATTTGCCAGACGGCCGTGAGCGACCTTGCGTCACAGGGCAGATGTGAATTTAAGAAGGCCTAGGCCCTTTTTATATCACAATTAAGTGGTGAGAATTTCGACGGAGAAAATCTCTTATATCAAATCTGCTCGTAGTATCCAAAACCTACTTATGATACGAAACCTTCGTACTCGCCTTCAACATTCTCGAATAGCCACAAGGACATGCATGCTTAATTGGTACATTCCAACAGAACATTTGAATTAGGAGAGAGCAACGTCGGCCCTCAGTAAAGAACTATGAGAGTTGGGCATCTGTTTCTAAAGTTTTAGGTCCTGTGTTCGAGTCCCGCTAAGGGCATGGATGAGATATAGGCGAGTTCACAACCGCAATTTGTCCCAGCTTAAATGAGAATACACTTTGGGAAGCAAGGCTATATGAAATTCAATGGAGGCATGAGACCTATTCATATGATTATGGGAAGATTCAACTATCAGTCCTTCATCACCTTCTAACAAAATAGGGTGTTTGCATGCGAATTCCAAAGATCTGGGTTTGACACCCGCTAAGTGGGTTTATTTGGCCTGGGCAAATTTTAGAGTGAAATCCTATCTGGATGGAACTGCTGGGAATTTGAAGGCGGATCTTAGTCCATTCTTCAGATAAGCCCTCAAATCTAATTTAGGTTTTATAGAGGCTTCGAGATTTACCAAATCTTTGATCTAATATGTACCATCAGAATACAAAAACATGAGTCTCACCTACTTCCAGAAACTAGCAAATCCATAATGTAATTTTTTTAATGCCATATTTCTAATACTGTCTAGTGCTGACGAAAGGATGCGTGAGATGCGGCATGCTCTGGTTCTGGCAGATCCCGACGGGAGTATAGAGTGGATTCCGATGGCCATCTTTAAGTCAACATGTAAAATCGACATCACTGACTTTCCATTTGACCATCAGATGTGCCATATGAAGTTCGGATCTTGGACATACGATGGCAACCAACTGGACCTTGAGTTCATCAGCAATGCGAGCTTCTCGCTGGGCGACTACACTCCCAGTAACGAGTGGGATGTCAACGCTGCACCGGCCCAGCGTTATGTTAAGTTCTACCCCTGCTGTGACGACCCTTACCCAGATCTTACCTACTTTCTATTGTGAGTCTCGCGCCAAGCCTTCTTGCATGAGATTTGACCACTTGATAACCTTCTATATAGCAGCATTCTGATGTAAATACACACCAAATTGGGACATAAAACCATCGGACTTGTTGTATGTAGGTAGCTTTGAGTTGAATTCCATTTCGTACAAAAGTGTGAGGTGAGCAGATTCTTAGGTCGATCCTACCTTATGATAATAAGATAGACTGCATTTTGATTTCCTAAGTCGTCTATGACATCGCATTCGTCGAGACAACCTCATTCGGCATAGGTGA